ATTCCTGCCCACGTGACGCGGCTTCGTAGGTGAGAGTACGGAGGCGGCCCGCGTGCGAGACGTCACACGCGCGGTATACAAGCTCGTGTTCGCGGCCGTGCTCTGGAGGGGCTTATCAGCATTCGGCATTGCTTAGCTGGCACTGCCGCTTTGCTTTACCTCGCTCTCGACGGTCTCACTTAGTATTCGTTTAACTAGCCGGCCATTCCGCACCTGTTGAATGTGTACGGTGCAAATCGCCGGATCGTTGATCGATCGCGCCGATTGAAAGCCTAAAAATTGATACGCGTTCTCTGCGTGTGTTTCCCTCCTTTTTCTTCTTCTCCTTTTTGGAGGGAATCTTGATCGCAGTTCCACTTTTCATCAACATTCAGAGATCAATAACTATCGCGCTGGATCTTGCGAATATGTTGTCGAGCGAGGACCGGGACCGCGAATAACTCGATGAGATGTTTCAATATTTTGGAATACGCGGTATCAGCGCGTTTCGATAGATACGCGAACGATCGTGATAACGCGCTGATATCGATCTTCGATATCTTGAGCAAGTGCGACATCTTAAACAAACGATATCGTGTGTGCGCAAGGTATGACAAGACGACGTTCGCGGATTCAACTGGTTGATTCATACTCACGATGGTAAGTACATATTAGTTTCTCCCACTTTCATCTTCGATATCTTCGATATCTTGAGCAAGTGCGACATCTTAAACAAACGATATCGTGTGTGCGCAAGGTATGACAAGACGACGTTCGCGGGTTGATTCATTTGATTCATACTCACGATGGTAAGTACATATTAGTTTCTCCCACTTTCGATGTTTACATATCTTTCGAATAATCCCGAGGTCGATTGTACGGTCCCTGACCGCAAATCTCGTACTCGCGAATATGCGCATGGAATCACGTGTTTCCTTTTTTTCCGATGAAATTCCTAGTCGTGTTTTGTCTCGTCTTTGACGAAGTTATCGGAGTTATCTCGAATATCATAAATGGTGCAAATCATTTTATCGGTCATTTGTGTGACGTTATCAAAATAGTTACGTATTCGGCGTAAGACTTATGGCAAAGCTGGTATTATTTAGTGTATCTTCATCCGTCATAAGTTTTCACATCTGGCAATCGTAAATATTGAAATGTAAATTTTATCTTTGTGTGGAAGATAACAATTGCACAAGATATATATATTTAACGAGCTACATTGTAACTTTTCATCGTCATGTTCATCTAATTATAATGACTATTTGCAAAAAAAGAAATGCTTCTGGCTTAGAAAAGTTATATTATAATAATTGTAGAGTATTTATTTATAATATTAATATACGTTTTATACAAAGAAAATTTATATATATAATAACTCATTCTCTCTTCAGAATCTGTCAGTTTTAGTGTAATAAGAATGCGTGTAAGTTGATGTTATCTATAGAACTGTCAATAATTTCATATCGATGAGTAACCTTGATAGTCGATAACGGTATGATCTATTTCATGACAAATTTTTAGTTATATAAACAAAAACGGGAAACTAGAAAAAAATATTTAGAACTCATATGATATACTCGTTTTCTCTTAGATTGCTCTTTGATTTTCCACCTGAAAATAAAATAGAGATATTTACAGATTCCAGTAGATTTCTCATCGTAATTGATCACATCCGTTCACAGACCTCGTTGTTAGAGATGCAACTATACGCACGCAAGGTCGAATGCAAACAAGTCGATGAGATGCATGAGATAGATATTCATGAGATAAATTCTGATTAGAGACACGATCGTGTCACAATAATGATAAAAAAAAGGCATTTTAATTTGCCATTCCTGGTACAATTAGCAATCGCATATCACATTGATATTGAAAATAAATGCAGTTTACGAAATCTTTCGAGGAAGCGGATATCAATCGTGCATGACGTACAACTTCTTTTCGCAATCTTGCATTTCCGTTTCCGATATCCTTGCCATTTATAATTTTTGCTTCATCGTTTTAATTAATGCATGCTTGATGAAATCGCGATAAAATGTATCACAGACTTTTTCACGAGAACAGGTAGATAACTAATCTGTTTCTATATTAATAAATAATTTTCCGCGCTTGCATTTTATTTGTATATATGTATATATATATATTTTTAAAATTTTTTGATCTTATATAATTAAAAACAGTGATTGCAAACTCTTCTTTCTAGGAAACTCTCGAAGATTTGACGCTATATTTTTATATTGCATGCGGTGTCGCTGGCGGTGCGCTTATCTTACTTTTTATTTTGGTGATCGTCCTATTCGTAAAAGTAAATCGATTAGCTGGGGATGGGTGAGTATTATTTCTGCTTTGTCAATCGACGATAAAAAGTGACAATTGCAGGTTTCGTTAGTATTATTAGTATGGAACCTGTTTCATAAAAAAGTAGTTTAATGAATAGACAGTCATATTGAATCAATCTATAATTAGGTGTAAATTTAATGCCTAACATTTACATTCCAATGCATCAATTATAATATTTTACTTGCGGTGAAAGTGCGTTTGATAGGTAGAATGACGTGTGCGTCTCCGCACTCGCGTGACGCGTTTCAAAATTTCCGTAGCTAAATCATACCATAGCTAAATACATATTACTTAAATAAATACTTATTTCACTAGATTGTTACATGCGAAATGTCAGGTTTTGAAAGCCTTTATATCGTAAAACATTTTCGTAAAACGAACGTTTTCGTAATTTGTTTGGTAATCGATTGTTACATATTCTTGCGACATTTATCTTGTAACACACAATTCAGTAAAATTTAAATAACCGGAAAATTTAATCGTAATTTTGATCGTTTATTTGCAAAGTATATAACTAAAATTATTTCTAAATCTGTATTTTGCCGTAATTATATGATTGCTCCTCTCATTTATCGATGCTCTTAAGTGGCGAAAGAAAAGTAAAAAAGTGTATAATACATATAGGTAGCGGCGATAGATATTTTAATATTTCTATTGTAATAATAAAACTCGAATATTCAAGTTTGGTTTGTGACTCAGGTGCCGTCGACAGAATCGTTGATAGCGTATCTTTATTGCTCGTAGCGCGATTATTTAGCTTATCTCATCCAAGAATGTAGAGCAGTAATGATCAAAAAATGCTTTTATTCATGAGTAATTTCTTAGTTATTTGTCTTTAGCATAGAAATTAAAATATTTCCAAACTTTTTTTCAAGGCTTTTTTCCAGATATTTTTTACTATATGAAATCTGAAAAATTTTCTTTGGTCCACCTATTTATTTTTTAATTTCTTCGGCAAGCGTTCATTAACATTATTCAATAATCAATCCTTATTTCTATGTCTTCCACGAATATATTTAATATCCACGAAATGTTTTTATTATAATTTATAATCTAGGATCGATTTAAATTCAAACAGATGTTGAAATAATCATCTTTATCGAATCCTTATCCCTTTTATTATAACATAAATTTGATCGTAAAGATTGTGAAATTGAAAACTGATTTAGGTCCAACCAACTAAACAGGCAGACGAACATGATGGCGGATTTTTGTTATACCAATCCTACAATTGTGCCAGGAGAATTACTCTCTCGCCGTGGCTTTTCCATGTATAGCGGAGCCGATAACTTCGATGAGGATTTCGGCAAGAACAAAAACGTTCATTATGGGACTTACAACGAGGCTCGATCGAAATTCTGATATATCGAAATCGAAATAATCAACCATATTAAGTGATTAATCGAGTCATTAGTGCATTTATTTATGTCAATTAATCGATTATTGATTAAATCAAATGGAGATTAAGTAAAACTTATAAGTAAATCTTAGCTTAGTTTTTAGTTATATTTAATTATTATTAATTTCCCTTAATGTGCATATTTCGTCATGTAGCTTATTGCGAAATTACGTGTTCAAAGTTTAATTTTTCTTAGTGACTTTATGTAAATATTAAATATCTATTATATGAAGTAAAAATTAAGTTTATTGCGATAATATTTCTTATATAGTCCCCGAAATATGTTGAAAATATCGACAATGTTTCACTGTGGCATAAAGTTACATTTAAAGTTAGAGTTTGATAAATAAATATTTATTACACATAAAAATACTTATGATTTTGATTGATGTCTATCTACTTTATCGGTCACTCGAATCGCCGACAAAGCTGAACGTTTACTGGAAAATATCCAGATGTCTCCATATATTGTACTTTTGCGCCACAGAGAAATTACATACACACGGTACTCTAAAAAATTATCGCATTAATTTTTCCAAGACTGCAATTAATTCTGGAGAATTCTTTATCATGCATAATTCTGACATTATTTTGCAATAAATAAAAAAAATGCTGGAATGCTTTATAAAATGTGCCCTAGCCGACTTTGATAGATTTTGTAATACAAAATAATTTGCCCATTGTGAAGATTTAGCCAACACAGATTATGATAATATAATATAATTAATATATAATTAAAATGCAGTACCAAAGAGATAACGCTCTGCTTTAAATCTTAAATACATCATGTATATTGGAAAATAGTTAATTACACTCTTATTAGGTTTTATACTTTTATTAAGTTGACATTTTAGTAGAAGATTTTCATGAGTTTAGTTTTTATAATATTTATTATATGGTAGTATAAATAATATGAATATAATATATAATAAAGAAATATTTCTGACTGAATTAAATTTAATAGACTCGAAGAGACGATCAAACTTCTATGCGAATTAAATCTAATTATTAAATTGTAAATAAAAATCTAAGAGACTTTTTATTTATGGAACGAAATTCACAAATATGTTATATATGCACTTACGGTATAAATAATTATTTTCCAGTCTACATGTTAAACACATATTCTTGTATGTTTTGTATTGTTTACTAGTTGTTATTAATTTAAATATATATAAATATATATTAAATGTGTGTGTATTTTGTGCCATGTGTGTTTTACTTCAATACTCAAGAAAAAAGAAAATTCTATTCTATCCAATTAACATATTGTACTATAAAAATCTAGCAACTAAAAATTGATATTAAAATATTTTATTATAGCACCAAACAATTAGCTATAAATTCTCGACAAATCCTGAATAAATTCTAACGTGTCTTTATCTAAATGTTGTAATTAAAATCAATTCTTAATGCAACGCAACAGGTGTTACGATATTATTTAAAATGTTGTGAAAACAGTTATGTAAGAGATAGATTTATAAAAATATCTACAAATTAATATTGATATATTTAAAGGTACAAATACTACCTTTCTTCGGAACCGAATATAGCATCGATTCAGATTCGGTACTCATCGATAGTAATGCCAATATCAAATATACGACTTGGCGTTCCTACTTTCATTTGTTGAAAGTGATGGTACTTACAATTAGTCGCCGTTTCCGTTCCGGAAGTGACGATGAAATCGCGCGCGGGAATGGCAACGATGTAGCGGCGGCCGGTGCCGGTAGTATGTAGGCAATGGCACGGGGATAGGCCGTAATTGGTATAAAATCATCGAGCAAACACATCGGACAAGACAGCCCGGGATTGTGGGCGGCATTGCGTGCCGTCGTCCTGGTTACCGTGGAGGCGATTCCGTTAAAGCGGTCCCTTCGTCCCCGATTGCGCGCAAGTTCGCCGCCGATACAAACCTGCGTTCACGTGTGCGTGTATATGTGCGTGTATATATCCTACCGGCACCCTTGCCAACGCACCGCCCTTGCCTTTCCTCGGCTACACGCCAAATTTACCGCCACCAGCAACGTCAAGGATCACCTCCGACCAGAGGTGATCCTCGTCCCGCTGAAATCCATCGATAAAATTATGATTTTCTAACAAAATTTACGATTTTTTGATGTTGTTTACTTGTGACGATTAATATTCTGATATTTTTATAAATTAACTTTGATATGGGATGGATAATTTGTAAAATTTTTGAAAATAGAAAAAAGTGGTTACTATTAAGTTAGATAAAATCGCGTATTTATAATAAAACTTAATTTAAGTGATCTGTCCATTCTATTTCATTTGTAAATATTTTCTTCGTATATAGATACGTTATAGCCCCCAAATTCTTCTGGTCCAAATCTAAACTCATTTCATTTTATCTGCGAGAACCGCAGTTTATGCTACAGCCCCATAAATCTCCGTAATCCGCATCTTAATGATAAGTAAATACTATACCCTACGAGATACAAATGTTTCTATAGCGCACGCAACCTGTCAAGTGTTTAGTTAAAATCTCTCTGCCCCACAAATCCGCGTTTATATCCTTAATCGCCGGAGATAATAGTCACTTCTGCGGTACCCACGATGCATATGTTACTTTTCTGAAAGTATCATGCGTAATATTATTTGTTACCGTTATAGTCGGAGAAAAAAAATCAATTTATCACGTTCTTTTGCAAAAATTCTGATTTGATGCCGCCAATAAACGTTCTGGGAATAAATCAATAGAATAGAATAAACATTTTCAATATTAAAAATATTAAAAATATTAAAAATGTTGATAATAGATTACCACATTAAAGAAATTAAATGTGTAGATAGTTTTTAAACTTATTCGATTAAAAGAGTAATTTTAATAATTTATTTTTTATTTTCTTTTAAATGTATGTTGTGATAAAAATAAGAGATTAAGAAAAGAAATTAAATAAATGAATAACTGTGCGGAAAGAGGTTTGTATAATTACAAAAATATGGCTTGCGCAATCGTTCTTTGCTGATTATGCACGGCCTCATTACTTTTCTTGTGTGTGTGACCCAGCTCTCTTACACAATACTCGCACGTTTTACGGTAGAGTAGACGCGCAGCGCGGAGACGTGTATAAAAGTTTAAGCCTCCCTTTCAGGTCTCATATTTTTACGAGCGACCCGCGCGAGAAGAAACAAAACCACTTGCTGTGGCACGGCAATTATCCACAGTCTACACTGTTCGAACCGGCCTATTCACACTCCTCTCTGCGAGCCGACTTTCAGTCATATTATGCTATTTTCGCGCGCTATAAATAATCGCCGTCTGCATGCAAATGTTTTAACTTGCGATAACAATATCGCGTAATAAATATCGAAGTTTCCTTCGTGCTTCTAGTAGAATCGAACGGATGGATAAGCGGTTGAGATGCTCTTTAAGAGATTAAAATCTTAATGAGATTTTAAAAAATTTGCGGGATATTATTATTTTATATTAATTTATGTACAAAATATGTAACATGTATGTCGTAACTGCAATGTTATTTTTGTGTGTTGTCTTGTCATCTACAATTTGCAACATCAATTTCGAAAGATAACATTACTTGATTTGCAACACGTCGTCAATATATAAATATATATATATATATTGATAATAATAACTAATTCTTCCGCGTGATTCTGCCGATACTTTTTGTCCTTGTCAGAATACGTATGAACGAGCGAACGGAAGGATATATCAGTCACGATATGAGAGTGTATAATGAGAACGTTGGAGGCGGAATAAAGTCCGAGTAGGCATTCTGTGAGGGATGCTATTATCGGTCGCGTGCGACGACGTATCGAGGCTGCCGTGGAGCCGCGTGCGTCTCGTTAAATTCTTCGGCCGTTGAACGGGACGCGGCCACGATTCTGTGAAATCGGGCGATCACACGTTACAGAAGGTACCGATTGTCGAATATCGCCAGCGGCGTCGACTTGGGACACGTGCGATCATGTCTAAAATTTTTCAGGTCACAACCTCCAATCAATGCTATAGATATAAAGCTAAAAGCTTTTAAAACACATGTCACATTAAAAGTTTTTGAGATTTCTTGAGCGGATCCTACTTACGATATTATAGTGGCCAATGGAGAAAAAATATTGTATAATTAAAGAACCACCAAGTTTAGATCTTATTTTCTTTGTTATATCTCTAAAAGAAAGAAATTGGTGGGAGAATATGTCGTTCGTAATGGAGTAAATCAACTTTGGGAAAGTTAATGATTCCTAGGAAACCTGCTCTTCTGTGCGTTTGCTTTAATTGAGCGAGAAGGGGGGCGGGGGGAGAGCTGAATAACGATTATAAAATGGCACGTGTCTCTTTCCAAAGACGTAAAGGGACCTCATGTCGACAAGCACACGACCGCCGAAAGCTAACCGACGGAGAATCATGCGAAGTACAATTAATTTATTGTTTGTGCCAGCCGAGTGACAATCGGGGTTACGCGGTAAAAAAGCGGGATCGCTGCCTCGTCGTGTTTGTGGCACAAGGGATCCCGGCTGGATGCTGTGCGATCCAACCGGACTGCTTTTGTGAATGATCTCTCTCTTAATCTAATGGTGAAAATCTCACGAAGCTGAATTACCTGAAATGTTCATTATCGCTTTCCAATGCTTTCTCAAAAGGATTGACATCGTTTGTTCACATACCTAACTGACTTATATTATTTTTTTCTATTACATAACATGCCTTCGATAGAAGATAGAAATTTGAAATAAACTAATGTAAAAATTTGCATGTAACTAAATTTCTTTAAATATATTTGTAAAGTTTTTTTGAGATATTTTTTAACTAATATATATAATATCATCTTTAATAATCTTTAGAATTTAGTTTTGATTCTATAATACATATATAAAATAATAAAAAATTTTTCATGAATTTTTTTTTAGCTGTTTTTTTTTTTAACCGAGATTGATTTAAGTTAAATCGAGTTACTAGGAATTTGAGATTAAACGAAAATATACATCGTGTCAAATTTTTTGAAACTTCAAGAATTTTTTTTACTTCGTAGTATTTCAACATGTTTATTTGCTCCATCGCATAACTCTGTGATTTGGCCTGATCTCAAAAGTCAACAATCTGATTTTAATAATCTTTAAATGCATTGTTATTCCGGTAAGCATGGATCACTTGGAAAATATCCCAAAATCCTGCCTACAGGATTTATGAAATATTTTTGACAGGTATCTTAGATGTATCTGAGTTCGTGGTAAAAAGAACGAAATAAATTAGCTTCACAGATATTTTTACGCCAAGATTATTTGCATAAATAAACATAAATATTAAATTATATAAACATAAATGTTTTCTTATGTCTCCTTTATCAAAGAATACCATTATCCTATTTAATCATTTTGTACAATATCGTGCAAAGAATTTTTGTTTTATTAATTTCTTTTTTGTGAAATATTGCGCTGTATTAATATATTATTTTAATATACGAAACTGTACTTTTGGAAAATGGTTTTAAAATGTAGAAGCAGGAATAAGGTTGCAGGTGGGGAAAAAACTATATTTTGTCAGAGGAAAATATGATATATTTATATATATATATAGGTTTGCAATGCGCGCTATAGTTTTACATATTTACAGGACTTGACGCGGACACGCTTTGCCGTGATTCTCTCGCTACAAAATCTCACACTTTACATATACGATATAAATAATCTGACTTGTGCCATATGTGTATATAATCGGCGTCAAAATGGTTGACACTTTTTTTTTAGTGATTTTCGGAGCATGAGTCACTAAGAAAATATTGGATATTCATTTTGACGCCGATCCTATATGTGTATCGATTTATATATATGCAACGATCTACGAATCTTTCGTAATAAAATATCTCGCGACGATCAAAGAATATTGAGTTTTGCACTACTTATTTATATTTACAACAGTCATATAATCTATATTAGACACTCGTTATTATTAAATAAGCATATAATATATAAATATAAATATAATGATACTAATTTTCCGATAAAAAGAACGCGTTTCTTTGGTCGATTGGCACAAGCACCGGTCAGTCTTCGCGAATCAATATAAATGCTATTATATACATTTTATGTGTATTTTTGTATGTATCTTAATTTTATATATATCATCATATAGGACAATTTTTTATACGTACACATAGTATTTACATTGTTACGTTCGAGAAGAAAGATCTCGTATTAATAGTATATGTACAGCAACAATGCCAGTAACTTCACATCAGCATATTTTTTAACACTAGAACAGCTTGTTTTAACGCTCCAGATTGAAAAGTTGAAAGCATAAAAATGATATATTTTACATTTATTAAAACTTATGGATATTTGATATATTTAATATATATGTTTAATATATATATAAATATATGTTTCACATATACAAATATAAAATTCAATATGTATTGTGCAAAAAATCTTGAATATACATATTAAAATTTATTTAAAGTGTCTAATGATTTTTTATATGGAATTCTCGTATTTGATTTCATGATATTTTTAGTACCAACAAGCATAAAAAGCCTGTAAAAATTCAAATATTGTTTTGAAGTTTTTATCATACAAGTTATTTCAATCTTCCTCATACTTTCAACTTTTCATATATCATTTTTAAATTTAATTTTTTTTTAAATATTAATTAATATGTGCCATCCAGGGGGTATTCGCCCGTTGAATTATTTCTTACAGAAAGTTTTCAGAAAACGCGTCCAGCGCGTGTAAAACATTCTTAATATCTTTCTACATAATGTTTGCAATGATCACTATTGGTTGTGAAATATACATACAGGGTGTCCCACCAAGAGTGACCACTCCCTTTTATCTTTTATGGTCAATCCCTTTTATCTTTTAAGCTAAAAAAGATAGACCATAATAAATATATATCAAATTAAATGATTCAAACTGAACTCTATTGTGAGCATAGTAGTTGCTTATAAAAGCTATCTGCGTTAATGAACGGACAGATATACATAATTTTTTTTCTAACGATGTGGATTTTTCGATACAATAAAAGTTGAAGCGATGTATCATTTAATGTAAATATTTTACATATTATACGAGTTTTATCGACTTAAAGGATCTTCGTAGTTTGACACTTTGAAAATAAGACGATTTTTGGGAATTTTTTAAAAAGAAAAGTATAAAACATATTAATTCTAAACTTTGCATGTTTATTAAATAATATTTCAAGTATATTCTGAATTTTTTTCAAACAAAAATATTTGTTTGTTTCGGAGTTATAGTAGTTCAACCAGGATGCTCAAAAAATAATTGTTGTTGACTAAAATTAAAAAAAAAAAACAAAAAGATTCTTAATCTGAATGTGGCTATCGCGTGAATTAGGATAAAAAAAAAATATTGACAAATAATGGCAGCGTCTCAAAAAAAAATTTCATTTTTCACCAAAAATTTAGTTTTATAAGTCGCAAAATTTGAATTTTGCAAATATTGATTTAATTCTAGTTCACACGATAACCACACTCATACAGATTAAGAATCTTTTTGGTTTTTTTATTTCAGATGACTATAATGGCTGGAATCATGTTCGCCATTTTTTTTTAGACATCCTGGTTGGACTACTATAACTCCGAAACAAACAAATATTTTTGTTTGAAAAAAATTCAGGATATATTTAAAATGTTACTTAATAAACGTGCAAAGTTTAGAATTAATATGTTTTATACTTTTCTCTAAAAAGCTTCCCTAAAATCGCCTTTATTTTCAGAGCGTCAAATTAGGAACCCTTGAAATACGCGGGTAATGTCTACCTTTTCATTTTCGGCCCTGCGATATGGCCAATTTCTGACTCGTGCGTTAGAAATTGACGTATATTATATGTTGTCATTTGATCATAATGTCGAGACAGAAGTTGGCCATATCGCAGAGCTGAAAATGAAAAGGAGACGTCACCCGCGATATTTTAAACCGATAAAACTTGTATAATAAGTAAAATATTTACATTAAATCATACATCGTTGTATTCATTTAAGTTATAATATATCACAAACTAATAATTACTGTCACATCTCGAGATATGTGATACACATACGTATATAGAAATTTACAAGTTTCTTTACTAGCAATATTTTTTATGACGTGTAAAATCATCATCGATCAGAGTGTCATTTGCGCTAATTTTTGATACCGCGATCATTCAATTAGCATATATGCGTTTAATAGTGATTACGGCATTGAGGTAGCCATATTGTGATCATCCAAACTACATTATTTATTGTTTGAAAAATGATATTAGGATCAGTTGCACTCTACGTTATCGTTATTTATCGTATATTGCAATCATATTGATCCCACCAAGCCTTCGTAGTTTTTCAAATTGTCATCTTTAGATTTAGTTATTAAAAAAAAATGATAATAGATGTTATATTCATCATTATGTTTCTAATCTAATAGCATTTTTAACATTATTTATCACAGCTGATAAAAAATATTGGAATCAAAGAGATTATTTCGATCGGCATTTCAGTCGTTATTTTACTGCGAGATGATATTATGGATAAAAGAAAAACATATGCCGCGTAGGATTATGAGTAGGATCGGTTACATGTTTCCTGAAGCTTAGTCCATAAATAGAATTGGCCGTTTTGTCGCAACTTTTTTCCACTACGAACTTTGTGAAGCATCTGTCAGCAATGAAAAATAATATCTTCAAATAATATCTTGTCATTCTTATCAAACTTTCTTGTTGATAATTTCCGTATATATAAATACTCCGCAAAACTAAATTTATGAATAATAATGCTAAACTTTTAAAAACTGCGTACCGGAGTAAATTTAATATCAAAAGATGAGAACTTATTTTTATTTTTGTAGTATTTGATTATTAATAACAATATTTGCCATCTCTCTAATGATACTTATCTTTTGCCATTGATTACGAATTACCTTTCAAGGTTGAGACGTTTTTTTCCTCCATCTTCCAGAGTCGTTTGTAGGGCGTGACGTAAGTGACGTGAGATCCCGAAGTATTGTAAGAATCGCTATTCGTCTGATGATCAGAATATTGCTCTCCATTGCATTCAGTCTCTGCGCAATGACGCTGTTGTTGTTGATGATGATGATGATGATGACGATGGTGATGATGATGCCCGCACGCGCCGTCGTCGCAAGCGGCGTCGAAATGCTACGTGCAAGGCACCTCGAATTGATGTCAGTGAACAAACTGATGATGTGTTTCATAATGAGGCTGATGGTGCAATGGCGGAGTGCCGCTATTGACTGACACCGTTTGATGCGCGTGTAATTCCTGAGAAACAGTGCTAGGACTGTACTGTTGGGAATCAACGATGACGCTGGTGTAGCCGGTCGATGAAGTCTCCAGGTGATGGTGATGAGGGTGTTTCACCGTTGCATTGCCATTGCTATGGTGAGGCTGACCACAAGAGTGACCTTGCTGATAGCTTTCGTGATGTTGAAGCGTTGCAGCGTTGTAGCTTTCGTTGTTGTTGAAACCACAGTTTGGGTACATGATAACACCACCTGCCTCGTTTAATGTTGTCGATGACGTCGAATCCGGCGGCATGTGATGATGGTGATGCGACGAATGATATCCGGATGGTAACAAAGAATTCGTCAAATGCACGTCCAGACCATCGGTGCTGCCGCAGGAACTTGAGGATGTTGAGTAAGGTCGTTTCTGCTGGCCGCTCTGGGGGCTGTGTTGTCGCTGCTGTTCAAGTGACGTCAAAGGGTTTGTTTGGTGCAGCAGATGCTGAGGGTGCTGTCGTTTCTGCTGATTATTCTGCGGACTCTGTTGCTGGATAGTCAAAGAGGTGGCGTGGTGTAAAAGATGCTGATGATGCGCCTCATGTTGGTGTTGCAGAGTGTTTACGGGGTCTTGATGGAGATCTCGAAATTATAAGGAATATAATGATATCGGTTAGAATCGGATAAACTGTAAAATATTTATTTATAATTATAACAATTTTATTGAAGAAATTGGTGAGCAAACAATAAGGGAAGATGAAATTGTGTGTCTAAATTTTTATTTTTACATTGTTACATTATTTTTACAATTTTTATTTTTAAATTGTTCTTCATTTAGTCTTTAATAATTCTTATCTATAGTCTGAAATTTGTAAAAGAGAAATGTTGAGAAATTTAAATATGCCATTATCGAGTGCAAAATTAATTTTAGACTCACCATTATATTGATAGAACAAATCCGGACTATAGTAAGCGCTGTCCTCGTGAGTCGCACCGTTGATGCTGTGCGACGCGAACGGCGATGATGACAGGTAATGATTCGTCGAGCCTGTCATATATTCTGAATTTGGATAGCCAGAACTGTCGGCGTAATCGGTATCCGGTGGTTCCTTGGTTCTACCACGGTAAGGAGGACTCGGACTGTGATTGTCCAAGTCATTCGTGCCAATCGTAGGTGTTGAGACGGGCGCGCTTGGCGGATTTCCGGGACTCGAGCACGACGACTTTTGCTCACAATTCAGAATAAGGCCGGTACTTTCGGTTGCCGTCAACACATAATTGACAGAGACGATACAGTGCGGCCGCGAGCTTCTTGAATTATGCACGATGGTCACGTATGACTGCATCCATACCCAGCCACCAGTTTTGGTCAGAAATCTGTAGTATCTTGTGGTGACTTGACCTTTGCGCAATACTGCCAACAAGGCAATGGTGATCATTAGCAAGGTTTAATGTCTCTCTCTCTCTCTCTTCCCCTCCCCTCTCTCTCCCTCTCCCATAAAAGACTTTTATAACATTTTTATAAAAAACTACATTACTACTGGATTTTGTTTCGTGCATTCATTTCATTTTTACAAAATTTGTACTTGAAGTTAGCTTTAACATCTTTATTTTTAGCAATTATGCTAGGAAAAATAAGCAAAGAGGAAAAAATTGTTTGAATTTAAGGGAGAGTTTTAATAATTCAAGAAGAAAGATTATGTATACGATCTCTTGGGGAAAAATATCTTTCAGACATCTATAATGTCGCCCTCAAATTGCGAAAAAAAAAAAAAACGAGCAGGACAGACAGCGACGTCGCGCAATCCGCAGGCGCAGACATTAGCGGCATTATGTCAGGTTCCCTTCGAGTCGCGCTCGTGAAACTGCGAGTCTGTTCAAACAGTGATAGCAGTAACAGCCTCCTACCTTACCTCTCACCTCTCGCTGAATCTCCCTCACTTCTACTCCCTCTCGCGTTTACGCTATTCTCTCTCTCTCTTTCTCTTTCTCTTACGTAAACACCCGCGCACGCACAGAGAAAGAGAGAGAAAGAGAGAGAGAGAGACAGAGAGAGAGAGAGAGAGGTATAGACACGCGCGCATGTCGGCGGTCTCCTCTTTTCGTCGGCGCACTGTGGCAGCATTGTTCAATCAATAATGTACACCCCAGGTATACCACGTGTGCACATACTTAGAATAAGCGCGCGCGATGGCGTTTCGAGAGAGAAAAGGTGGAAAAGAGTGGAAATACATTGTAACTATGGGACACGCGAGAAAAGATCAAAGAATATTTTGTAAGGGCGATGCAAAGACGTCGCCGAGTTAAGCAGCGTCAGCTGCTTTCGGTTCATGAAGAGTCTATCCTCCTCAAGTAGCATGCCGACTTGAGAGGACCTTCATCGAACCATCGGTCGACACAGAAAATATCGAGGAAAATATTTTCGAACGTTTGTTTCAAAGTTATTTTTTTGGATTTGCAATATGATTGAGTCCCTTGAAAATAGAGGTTGACTTTCGGTCAAGGAAAATATATACAATGAAAATATAATATATACAAAATGGAGTATACGACCATCTTTCCATATAAATAATTGCATGCATTATGCAAAAACAAAATTTGTATGAAAATAGCCTTTTGATTATATTAGTGAATACTTTCAATAGAAATTTGTTAATATAAAATGAAACATTTTAAACAAATTTAAGTCTGTGCAGTTTGTTAAGTAAATAGCTAGAGTATTGAACTAAATTAAATTATTTAAAGAAATATAAATAAATTTTTTTGCTGGGTATAATATGCATAAATATTACATTAAATTTAATAGCATAAAAGATAATATATTAAATATATTATCTATATGATCTATTAAAAGGGTATTGTAAATAATAGTAAAATTATTTAATCTGTCATATATAAAATAGGTTTTACAACGAATAATAATATAAAGGAATGCTTACAAACATGATGAGCATGTCGTAGTTGCAGAACATCGCAACCGTGTACATAATGGTACAACGTCTTCTCGATAAGATCCGGCGGGTCGTATCCTGTTAATTGGGCTACCCTGTAATAACACAAAATACGCTGATAAATGACTTTTTTCTATTTCTTTTTATGCGAGTTTACTATATCTCTCTGTTTAGTGCATTACAGCTCTAATATACATATATTAAGAAAGCTCACATTTTCTCTGAAAGGAATTTTTTTTTTGAATATCTAAATTTATTATATAATTTTTTTGAAATACAGAAATGCGTCTATATCTTCTTCAGCCACGCAATTTGTTTTCCCATATAATTCACAACGCGTCATATATCACCCGCACGCAATGTTAACAGAACTACAGGCCAATAGATCCGTTGATTGTTCTTCGTATCGGGCTTATTTTCGTCGGGATTTACGGTGCGAGCGTCGCGAGTTTGCACAATGCGCGCTAGCCGAGCGATTCCGACGTATGTATGTATAATATAAAATTTCATCGCACTCTTCTATCCGCGCTATATTTATACTACATCACGTGTTCGTTCCCAGTGAACGAGCGGGTGCGTAACGCGGGCTCGTCAGGCTCGGCAGTGGTGGATATTTATTTGCCGCGGATGGAAAGAAAAAAAAGGATATATACGCGGTAGCGCTCGGTAACACGAACCTGATTTTAATGGTCGTACCCCTCTCGACCGGGGGCACCGCGCGCGGGCCCTCCATCGAAATATTAACGGCGCAATACGACACCCAACTATAATTACATTGGAAATAAATAATCCACTGCGTCCCAGTGCTCGAGTCAACGCTGCTCGCTTCCTCTTGCAACGGGGAGAGATCCGTCTCCATCAATAAAAAGAAGTTTATTCGAGAGAAATAATATTTTTTGTTATATATATATATATATATAGATTTGTATTAAATATTATTACGCAATTTATATCATACATTTTGCTTTACCTGTATATATATGTACTCTTTGGATACATAATTTTTTTTATTTATATAATTATTATTGACTTTCTTATTAGTTAAATTCAATCAATTATTTCTATTTATATATTTTTGACATTAATGACTAAAAAAAAAGTGAGGAAAACGGTGTTTATACTGATAATTAATACCTGAAAAATATCTTTAGAAAAAAAATGAAAATATAAAAAAAAGATTTAATGGGGACATATTATCAAAATCTTACCGTGCATCGAGAAATATGAGCTTCAGGTCGAGTGAAGCCCGGAACATGAACATGTTGTGGTGCAATTTAATTTCGGTTATGGAACTCGTCGGCAATGAATGGCCGACCGCCAATAGGCCGACATTACGGACGCAACGACTAATACCGTCCTCGTATTCAGACCCGATGGGTAGCTCCACGATGCATTTTAAATAACCGGAACAATGTATAACCTGAAACACCGAATCAAAAAACATCGCAGACTTTACGTTTCTAAAGTTTCTTAAATATTTACAATTTTTCAAAGTTTTTTAGATTAATCGAACATATATATATACATATACTTCAATATACTTTTATGTTCTCTTGTCACATTCTGCCATTTTCAAATCAATATTTTCAATCATATTTTTATTATATAAAGTATTCGCAGAGAATTGATAAACACTTGACACATATGTAGAATTTTATTTTCCATTTTTTATGTTCTCTTGTCACATTCTGCCATTTTCAAATCAATATTTTCAATCATATTTTTATTATATAAAGTATTCGCAGAGAATTGATAAACACTTGACACATATGTAGAATCTTATTTTCCATCTTTTATTTCTGACAGCTCATTCACCCCCGATGAATTCTTCCAACACATGTAATACGTTGCATGCAGTGCGAAATGCATACGAGCGTTCGCGATATTATTCCTTTGGCCGAGCGTAAGTGCGATACTCGAGTGACTCCCTCGCGCGCTGCCGTTGAAGTAGAGATATTCGCGCGGAACAACGGCAAATTAACAATTCCTGCTTAATTGAATGGCCGATGATGCGGAAAAAGCCTTGCTGAATGTCACGCTCCCGTCTCAAGTACCGGGGCAAATTTGTGAAGCAAATAGGCCCCTTATTATGCCCGTGTTGCATACGGGATCGCATACGCCACCTCGCGTATGCGATCCCGGTGCATCAGCGCGCGTTGCGACGCGAGAGGAACTCGAAGAGAGTTAAAGAAGAGGGCGACCACCCTTGATCTCACCCCCGGATTCACGCGTGTCTCGCCAAACAAAGCAATCAAAGCTATCAATAAAATATTTTTAATAGTTTGATTCTCTCTAATAATGTTAAAATTGGATTACGTAATTTTAAAAAAGAATAATTGAATTATATTGATTGAGGATTAGACTCAAAAATTGAATATAGAATATTGAATATTGAATATAAAATGCAAGCTAAAAAATAAGTTTGAATGAACTGAGAAGATCTTAGCATAATTAAAAAAAATAATTTACAATGGCGTATATATAAATTAAGGCTAAAAAATAATTCTTTATTTAAAATGATTACAATTATATGTAATAATTAAAGTTATATCGTTAAATGTATATAAAATATATATTTTATATTTATAATATATTAAAATAAACAAAGATCCAGATAAATTGCTTGTAGATAGTCGGGTCTAATTTAACACAATTTAATACCTTCTGAGGATTTCTTGTCACACAATGACATTTGTGGAGCAGGTTTTCTTTGTCACTTACAATTTCACGCACAATCGTTAATTCGAGCATTTCCGTTCGCGCGTCGACAAAAGAGAAGCCAACTATAATCCGGTCTTTGTATGTCTATAAGTGTCATAGGGATAAGTCCGCCCTCTTGTCCCCACATCTCTCGGCTAGCCTAACAGCTCGCAGGGGTTGCATTCATGACTTTGCCCAATGCCCATCGGGGATCTTTCGCTTACGACTTTGTCGAGGGCTACAGTCATCATGGCACTATGGTTTGAACGAGCTATTTGCCAAACATTTTCTTCCATAAGAGCTTGTCTTCTTCGGTTAGCGAGTGCAAGGTATGTCGCGGATTATCCCCCTTCGTTTTTCGTCAAAACGATAACGTTGCCCGTTATTGCCAGGGCATATGTCGAAAGTTTGACGATGACCGGGGAAAGTTAATTCAGGCAATCTTACCCGATTTCGGAAAATTAAGGCCCCCTCCCCCCTTTCATAAATCGAGATCAATGTCGGCCTGTGATTTTTCGCAATTTGTGCAGCACATCCCGTAAATCTGATTAATCAGCTAACATGTTGGCTGAAATCGATTCGGTAAATATCTGAAGGCAAACAGTCGAAAAAAGTCATATTATGATCAAAGTCATTTATGAAAATTAAGCACTTTTCAGATTATTAATTTTATACTTATTCAACATTAAAAAAATATACATTTTTTAAAACTAATCCAGTTTCAATTATACATATAATATATAAAATGTTGCTTTCTTTTAATTTTACTGTGCGATCAATTTTCGCTTATATGAATGTGTTATCAATTCTCGCTTATATGAATAATGTGTTTTCAATATATATAATCCTTAGAGAAAAAATTGATAGAAATATATAAAGAATGTAATATTTTTAAACATAGATTGAATAAGAGCGAATTTTAGTAGCCTCTCTCCCTCTCTCTCTCTCTTTATCTCTCTCTCTCTCTCTCTCTCTCTCTCTCTCTCTCTATACGGGGTG